TTCTTTTCAAAATTTCTGACAGGCCTCTCCCACTTTTATCATCTGCTCCCCTTTTTGCACTCCTCTCACCACTCTCTTTCACCTTTCTTTTACTCTCCATATACTCTGCTTTTCTATAACACTTCTGCTTTGTAAAAACCTCTCATAAGCCACCTTTTTCTCTCTTTTATCACACCCTTTACTTCACCATTCCACCAATCACTCCTCTTTCTCCTGCACCCACCCTCCTATAACCACAAACTTCTGCCCCACATTCTAATACTGCATTTTTAAAACCATTCCAACCCTCTTCAACCCCCCCCCCCCCCACTACTCATACTTGCCGAATAAGTAAAACTAGTCATTTAGAAAGAACTCATTTAAATTATGTCCTTTCTAAAATTTTCTCTTATATGTTTAAAGATATATTATTACGTTTCCTAATAATTATATCCTAGTGCTTGCTTACGTGTTTTTCTATACCATATATACATACATATCGCTCCTGGAGAGCGAAACATTGCCGCAGTAAAACGTTGCATTAGTGTTCATTTGTGTTCATTTACATAACATTTTGTAGGTACCTCTCCCATCATTATCCTTTTTCATGCGCTGCTTCCAGATGAGGTACGCATCGGCGTATATAGATACTTGTTCCATCCGGAGCAACTCATCACAGGGAAGGAAGACGCCGCTAATAACTACGCCAGGGGTCACTATACCATTGGGAAGGAAATTGTTGACTTGGTTCTGGATCGTGTCCGCAAGCTGGCGGACCAGTGTACTGGTCTACAGGTGAGTTTACACACACACACACACACACACACACACACATACACAAGGATCCATACATAGCTTTAAGAAGAGGTATGATAAAGCTCACGGAGCGGGAAAAATGACTAAGTAGCGGCCAGTTGAAGAGGCGGGGTCAGGAGCTGTGAATCGACCCCCGCAGCCAAAACTAGGTGAGTACACACATGAGACACCGGAGGACAGGGGGTACATGATAACGACATATAAAATAGTGAGAGGAATTGACAAGGTGGACAAAAACAGGATATTCCAGAGATGGTACACAGTAACAAGGTGTCACAGTTGGAAGTTGAAGACTCAGACGAATCACAGGGATGTTAGGAAGTATTTTTTTCAGTCACAGAATTGTCAGGAATTGGAATAGTCTGGGAAGTAATGTAGGGGAGGCAGGATCCATACATAGCTTTAAGAAGAGGTATGATAAAGCTCATGGAGTAGGGAGAGTGACCTGGCGGGGCCAGGAGCTGTGACTTGACCCCTGCAACCACAACTAGGTGAGTACACATATATTCAAACTAATTACTCAGAAGATGTGTTTGTCAACAATCGAAAGCATTTTGATTTTACTAGTTTCATAGTGATTTCTGCCCATTCGTGTTTAAAGCTTCTGGTATCGACAGGGATTCCTGATCTTTCACTCGTTCGGAGGTGGCACTGGCTCCGGCTTCACCTCACTGCTGATGGAACGCCTCTCTGTAGACTATGGCAAGAAGAGCAAGCTGGAGTTTGCTATATATCCTGCCCCTCAGGTTAGTTCAGCCTTTTACTCTCTAAGAGTCTGAAATATATTCTGCCTCACAGGTAAATTCAGCCATTTAGTCTCTTAGAGTTTGAAATATATCCTGCCCCACAGGTAAGTTCAGCCATTTAATCTCTTAGAGTTTGAAATATATCCTGCCCCACAGGTAAGTTCAGCCATTTAATCTCTTAGAGTTTGAAATATATCCTGCCCCACAGGTAAGTTCAGCCATTTAATCTCTTAGAGTTTGAAATATATCCTGCCCCACAGGTAAGTTCAGGTTCTTACTGTCCTCATAACATAAAGATGGACAGGCGGCGCTAACAGCGGTCTGGAAATTGACAATCCGACTCTGTACCGTCTTCACCACCGGGGTTCTTAGAGGAAGGAGTCGGGACTAGTACTTACCAAACTATATTCCGTCAGAACTGCTTCCTACGACCCAGGAGCTGAAGGAAGGAGGTGGTCATAGTAGCGAGTCGGACTGTCAGTTTACAGGCGGCGGTTCGCGTCTCCGCCTATCTTTCCGTCTCTTTATTTAAAGTTGTCCATTATTATTATAATCAAGGGGGAAGTGCTAATCCCGGAGGATTATACAGCGCCTGGGGGGGGGGGGGGGATGTGGAAGGCATTCAGGCTTAATTCGGGGAACTGGAGCACAGATCCAATTCCCTAAATCAAGAGCCCCTCACTAACATCAAGGAACCTTCCTTGAGGGGTGAAAGTTGTTCAATACAACTTATTCTGAGTTCTGATGTTAAAATTGGATACGTGATTAGTGTGGTGCTAACCTAGTTTATGTGGTAATTACGCAGTGGGTACAAAAATTAGATGTGTCTCCCTGTCATGGACCAGGCAGGGGGGGCGTTGACCCCCGAACACCCTCCAAGTATACACCCTTTAGATATACACCCTCCAAATATACACCCTCCAAATATACACCCTCCAGATATACACCCTCCAGATATACACCCTCCAAGTATACACTCTCCAGATATACACCCTCCAGGTTATACACCCTCCAGATATACAGCTTCCAGGTGTACACCCTCCTGGTATACATGCTTCAGATATACACCCTCCAGATATACACCCTCCAGGTATACACCCTCCAGGTATACACCCTCCAGGTATTCCATGACGTAGGATGGGAGGAAGAAGAGGCAGGGGTAATGTACTGCTCTCTGAACAGGGAACTGATCAGTCTCATGAAGGATCACATCAGGATTTCAGGATGTTGCAATGTGTCTTGTGTACATTTCTCACTAAGCTCAATGTGTGTTGTGTACAGGTTGCTACAGCTGTAGTGGAGCCTTACAACTCGATTTTGACGACGCACACCACGTTGGAGCACTCTGACTGCGCCTTTATGGTCGACAACGAGGCTATCTACGACATCTGTCGGAGAAATCTGGACATCGAGCGTCCCACTTACACTAACCTCAACCGTCTCATTGGTCAGATCGTGTCGTCCATCACTGCCTCTCTTAGGTTCGATGGAGCTCTCAATGTCGACCTGACGGAGTTCCAGACTAACTTAGTACCTTATCCACGTATCCACTTCCCCCTGGTGACCTACGCTCCGGTTATCTCCGCCGAAAAGGCATATCACGAACAACTGTCAGTGGCAGAGATCACGAACGCTTGCTTTGAGCCTGCCAACCAGATGGTTAAATGCGATCCACGTCACGGCAAGTACATGGCTTGCTGCCTGCTCTTCCGTGGGGATGTGGTGCCCAAAGACGTGAACGCCGCCATTGCTTCCATCAAAACCAAACGAACCATCCAGTTCGTGGACTGGTGTCCAACAGGCTTCAAAGTTGGCATCAACTACCAGCCACCTACAGTAGTACCAGGTGGGGACCTAGCCAAGGTATCACGTGCAGTATGTATGCTCTCCAACACCACCGCCATTGCTGAGGCCTGGGCACGGCTCGACCATAAGTTCGATTTGATGTATGCCAAGCGAGCCTTCGTCCACTGGTATGTGGGTGAGGGTATGGAGGAGGGCGAGTTTACGGAAGCTCGCGAGGACTTAGCCGCCCTCGAGAAAGATTATGAGGAAGTCGGAATGGACTCTGCTGAAGAAGAAGTAGATGAAAATGAATATTAAACTCAAATAAGAGAAGAACAGTCTGTGAGACGTGTCACTGACTTCCTGTGTTTACATCCAAGAGACAAGACTTGCACACAAGTATCCTAGAAACTCACTATGTATCGAGCACACCTTGACTGTACTTAACGTTTTCAACTTAAACAGAGCCTAATCAAGATGTGTTTACAACGGAACTTTATAAAGAATAGTTTGCTCTGATCAATAGTGTTTTTCTCGCACACCTGTTTCCCAGTGCAGTACACAACACGTCCAAGGTCCTGACCTTCACCAGTGGTACCTTCTCTCTTCACCATCACCACTGCCGAAATCATTTCATGAATTTCCGAAAGGGAAATGATGTGTGCTCATTATTGCTTCATTATCACTCTTGAAACACAACAAATTTGCATCTTATCAGCAAATCAAGTTAATAATTATTTTAAAAATCATCTTGACTCTAAAGAATTTTGATTTGCAAAACAGACATCAGAGGTTTTAAAACCAAAATCCTGCAAGACATCAGAGGTTTTAAAACCAAAATCCTGCAAGACATCAGAGGTTTTAAAACCAAAATCCTGCAAGTATAAAATCTCCCTTTACTTGAAATAAAATCTGCCTATACTTATCTGCATTGCCATCTATATGTTGCCTTACAAGCGCCAGGGATACTTATAACCATATTTCTTAAAGGTGTGGAGAGGTAGGCCAGTGGAAGGCCTCGGTCAGATGACCAAAAGCTACAGTTGTGGGTCATCATGTGACTAAGATCCGCGTCAGGAAACACTTGTTCTGTTTGCTGACAAACCTTACCTAACACCAGTGACATCAATATTCACAATAACATCCAAATCTATAGAGTCATAATTCTATGATGTCACCCACTGAAGATGTCTCCCACTGACGCTGATGTCACCCACTGAAGATGTCTCCCACTGACGCTGATGTCACCCACTGAAGATGATGTCACCTATTGAAGATGATGTCTCCCGCTTAAGATGTCACCTACTGAAGATGATGTCACCTACTGAAGATGATGTCTCCCACTGAAGATGTCACCTACTGAAGATGATGTCACCCACCGAAGATGATGTCACCTACTGAAGTTGATGTCACCCACTGAAGATGATGTCACAATAAAATATCAACCAACGCTTTTTCTTATTTCAAAATCATAAAAATTACTTTTGATATATTGAAATAAAAATATTCAATTGGAAATTTTTAATATTTTTTTCAAAATGTGGATACGAGGACCACGTGTATATATATACTTGAAAGATGTGTATATCTCTCAAGTGTATATACACTGTGTGTATATAAACAGTGTATATTCATTATATACAAGATTGTATCTCTCACTGTATATACACCAAGATTGTATCTCTCACTGTATATACACCAAGATTATTGTATTTCTCACTGTATTTACACCAAGATTATTGTATTTCTCACTGTATATACACCAGGATGATTGTATCACTGTATATACACCAGGATGATTGTATCTCTCACTGTATATACACCAGGATGATTGTATCTCACTGTATATACACCAGGATGATTGTATCTCTCACTGTATATACACCAAGATTATTGTATTTCTCACTGTATATACACCAGGATGATTGTATCTCACTGTATATACACCAGGATGATTGTATCTCTCATTGTATATACACCAAGATTATTGTATTTCTCACTGTATATACACCAAGATTATTGTATTTCTCACTGTATATACACCAGGATGATTGTATCTCACTGTATATACACCAGGATGATTGTATCTCTCACTGTATATACACCAGGATGATTGTATCTCATTGTATATACACCAGGATGATTGTATCTCTCACTGTATATACACCAAGATTATTGTATTTCTCACTGTATATACACCAGGATGATTGTATCTCATTGTATATACACCAGGATGATTGTATCTCTCACTATATACACCAAGATTATTGTATTTCTCACTGTATATACACCAGGATGATTGTATCTCACTGTATATACACCAGGATGATTGTATCTCTCACTGTATATACACCAGGATGATTGTATCTCACTGTATATACACCAAGATGATTGTATCTCTCACTGTATATACACCAGGATGATTGTATCTCTCACTGTATATACACCAGGATGATTGTATCACTCACTGTATATACACCAGAATGATTGTATCTCACTGTATATGCACCAAGATGATTGTATCTCTCACTGTATATACACCAAGATGATTGTATCACTCACTGTATATACACCAGGATGATTGTATCTCACTGTATATGCACCAAGATGATTGTATCTCTCACTGTATATACACCAGGATGATTGTATCTCTCACTGTATATACACCAGAATGATTGTATCTCTCACTGTATATACACCAAGATGATTGTATCTCTCACTGTATATACACCAGGATGATTGTATCTCTCACTGTATATGCACCAAGATGATTGTATCTCTCACTGTATATATACACCAAGATGATTGTTATCACTCACTGTATATACACCAGGATGATTGTATCTCTCACTGTATATACACCAAGATGATTGTATCACTCACTGTATATACACCAAGATGATTGTATCACTCACTGTATATACACCAGGATGATTGTATCTCTCACTGTATATACACCAAGATGATTGTATCACTCACTGTATATACACCAAGATGATTGTATCACTCACTGTATATACACCAGGATGATTGTATCTCTCACTGTATATACACCAAGATGATTGTATCTCTCACTGTATATACACCAAGATGATTGTATCTCTCACTGTATATACACCAAGATGATTGTATCTCTCACTGTATATACACCAGGATGATTGTATCTCTCACTGTATATACACCAAGATGATTGTATCTCTCACTGTATATACACCGAGATGTGTATGTCCGTATATATACACTGAGATGTGTATAAGTCTAGAAAGAGTTTATATATATTACTGACAGGGGAATCCCATTAATTTCTCAGACATCTTCGTTAGTAGAACTAACGAAGCGTTGAAAGACGACGGTAAACATTTCTCGTTACATAAACGTAAGAAGACGTTACTTTAAGATACTATTCACTACTAAAAACGTACTATAACGTTACCACATGATAGCCAATGATCTTTCTCTCCAGAAATAGGAAAAATGCGTCACATATCAATATTCCTTCTACGATACGTCGAAATGCGTCACAATATGACTCCCCCACATGTGGCTGCGTAACATTACGTCACAATTCGTCACTTATCACCAGAGAGGCCATCCCTGACGTCACTAGATGTCACGATACGTCACTATGGTTTTAATAATTGAAACCAAGGCGCCATTGAAACCAGAAAGGTGGGAGGTGAGTTGTGTGGGAGGTGAGTTGAGTGGGAGATGAATTGAATTCCACTACTATCTCTACCACTAATGTCTACCTGTCTATCTACCTGTCGACCTGTCTAGTGTACCCGTCTGCTTATTTTCCTGTCTAGTATACCTGTCTACCTATCTACCTGTCTGTACCTGTCTAGTGTACCTGTCTCCCTATCTGACTGTCTTTATACTTGTCTAGTGTAACGGTCTGCCTATCTACCTGTCTCCATACCTGTCTGCCTTTCTGCCTGTCTGCCTTTGTACTTGGCTGTCTGTCTACCTGTCCACAACTCTTTTTATCTGTTGTCTATCTTTATACTTGGCTGCCTGCCTGCCTGCCTATCTGTCTACCTACCTGCCTGTTTGTCTGCTTGCCTGTTCCCTGCTTGCCTGTTTGCTTCCCCGCTATCTGCCTGTCTCCTGCCCGTCTGTAAGAGGTGATTTGAGAGAGAGAGAAGTAGTTTGGGTACAACAACCACTATTCTCTCTCTCTCTCTCTCTCTCTCTCTCTCTCTCTCTCTCTCTCCTCTCTCTCTCTCTCTCTCTCTCTCTCTCTCTCTCACTCACTCATTCATTCGACTTATATTAAAAAAACACGATATACTCAAAATTCCAAAAATATCGAAATTCACTATAATCTAATAATTACGTCCTCAAACAACGTCAAGAAAATAGTCGATAACTTTACTGCCCCCAGTATCATCTGAATCAGTCTATCCAGGGACCAATAATAGTCGATAACTTTACTGCCCCCAGTATCATCTGAATCAGTCTATCCGGGGACCAATAATAGTTGATAACTTTACTGCCCCCAGTATCATCTGAATCAGTCTATCCGGGGACCAATAATAGTCGATAACTTTACTGCCCCCAGTATCATCTGAATCAGTCCTATCCGGGACCAATAATAGTCGATAACTTTACTGCCCCCAGTATCATCTGAATCAGTCTATCCGGGGACCAATAATAGTCGATAAATTTACTGCCCCCAGTATCATCTGAATCAGTCTATCCGGGGACCAATAATAGTCGATAACTTTACTGCCCCCAGTATCATCTGAATCAGTCTATCCGGGGACCAATAATAGTCGATAACTTTACTTGCCCCCAGTATCATCTGAATCAGTCTATCCGGGGACCAATAATAGTCGATAACTTTACTGCCCCCCAGTAACATCTGAATCAGTCTATCCGGGGACCAATAATAGTCGATAACTTTATTGCCCCCAGTAAACATCTGAATCATCTATCCGGGGACCAATAATAGTCGATAACTTTACTGCCCCCAGTATCATCTGAATCAGTCTATCCGGGGACCAATAATAGTCGATAACTTTATTGCCCCCAGTATCATCTGAATCAGTCTATCCGGGGACCAATAATAGTCGATAACTTTACTGCCCCAGTATACATCTGAATCAGTCTATCCGGGACCAATAATAGTCGATAACTTTACTGCCCCCAGTATCATCTGAATCAGTCTATCCGGGGACCAATAATAGTCGATAACTTTACTGCCCCCAGTATCATCTGAATCAGTCTATCCGGGGACCAATAATAGTTGATAATTTTAAACTCCCCCCCAGTATCATCTGAATCAGTCTATCCGGGACCAATAATAGTCGATAACTTTACTGCCCCAGTATCATCTGAATCAGTCCTATCCGGGACCAATAATAGTCGATAACTTTACTGCCCCCAGTATCATCTGAATCAGTCTATCCGGGGACCAATAATAGTCGATAACTTCACTGCCCCCAGTATCATCTGAATCAGTCTATCCGAGGACCAATAATAGTCGATAACTTCACTGCCCCCAGTATCAACTGAATCAGTCTATCCGGGGACCAATAGCTGGAAGATTGCTTTCCTTAACAAACTGTAATGCGTGCCAGTCGTGGGAATACAAATCTCGCCTGTACTACATTCTTTTGGTCGTTCCACTTCCTGACCACTCTAAGGCTAAAGAAGTATTTCCTGACATCTCAGTGACTCCGAGCAAATTGTATCTGAGGGTGAGAAAGATGTCTGATCTTCAGACATTCGCTGTATTGAACTGAGGAAGCCACTGTGTAGCATAACTGAGGAAGCCACTGTGTAGCATAACTGAGGAAGCCACACAGATACACTGGAAAATCCTAGAGGGACTGGTCCCTAATCTGCACACACAAATCAATCCCTACGATAGCAAAAGAATGGGCAGGCAGGGCAACATACCCCCAATGAAAAGTAGGGGCGCCATTAGTACGCTAAGAGAAAACATAATAAGTGTCCGGGGCCCAAGACTGTTCAACAGCCTCCCCTCAGGCATAAGGAAAATTATCAATAAATCCCTGGTTGTCTTCCAAAGGGAGGTGAACAGATACCTAAAGTCTGTACCTGACCAGCCGGGCTGTGGTTCGTGCGTTGGACTACGTGCGGCCAGCAGTAACATCCTGGTTGATCAGGTTCTGATCCACTGGAAGGCCTGGTTATGGACCGGGACACGGGGGCGTTGATCCCCGGAATACCCTCCAGGTACGTAGACCCAAGTAGCGCACAAGTATCTAAGTGGTCATAAGAACTTCACAGTATTAAATTCCATAGCTTAAAATTCCTGGTTGAACTGGACACCTCACTGACTCTGTAATGCTCTTGTTAAACCCCAGCTTGTATATCCGGCACAAGTTTGTTCTCTAACTTACATAGAAGACAAAGATAGAGAGGAGAGATATAGGGGAGGACAAGTAACCTTGTACCATCACTAACAAACCAGCAACATGAAGGAAGATACAAGGGACGTACAGTAACTTGTTACAGAGGAAGACAAGTTAGCTTGTACCATCACTAAC